TCACTGCTAGTTCGTTGAAGCAAGCGTGCCGTCCACTGTGTCTCCCCGTAACTCAGTGTTCTGTCTGCAAGATGGAGGAGGTATGGGGCCAACGAGCATTAGTGACATTGGTGAAACGTGTTCCTTTTCCTTCATGGTTCTGTTGTGGCTCTCGCAAAGCCAACACCCTGACCCCAATACCAAACTGTGCAGGCAGAGTGACAGACACAGTCAAGGGGGATAAAGCGTTACGTCAGGAGGGGCAGGCTGAGCTGGGGTCAGAAGACAGGACGGGGCAGGAAGCAGAAGTCTCAGAGCTCGAGAGGCAGGAGGAAGGGGATGGCTCCCACTGGTCTTCCCAAGACCCGTCTGTGCCAGTTTGATTGGACACAGTTAATAAGGAAGAAAGTGCCAGTGAAAACCAAAGCAAAAGACAAAGAACAACTTTTCCAAATGGGTGGGTGGGCATGCGGCCCCCGGCAGGGGAGGAGGCCAGCAGCCCGGGAGCTTGTCCCCAGGCCCGCTGAGCCCACCCGCCCCCTCGGGCCGCCCCTTCCCACGGAGCTAAGCTGTGCTTTCCGCACCTTGAACCCATTTGGGGTTTTTTTTTTTCTTTCTGAGGGAGTTTGGCAAATTATTACAGAAAAGGAATCAAAGAAGAGAAGAGGAAAAAAATAAAATCATTTCTTCAGCATAAAAAAATTTTGATCCTTTTATTTTAGCCAGACAAAGAATTTTCAAGCTCCAACCAGCCGTAAAATCAGTTCTCATGCCACCCACATTTCACACGCCTCCCCCATTCCACTCCCCCAGCTCCAGCTGCCCCCCACCCAGCCCCTCCCTCTCCCAGCACTGCCCTCACTGGCCATCCCTCTGGCCTCAAACCCAAGCAGCCATGTGACGCAAACTTGAGCACGCATGGACTACACACTCCCTCTGGCACACAGTCACCTGGGCATGCACACACACACACACACACACACACACACACACACACACACACACACACACACACACACACACACACACACGACGACGACCGACCTACCACCCGTACCCGTAACCGTAACCGTAACCGTAACCGTAACCGTACCGTACCGGTACCGGTACGGTACCGTACCGTAAC